AAAAAATTATTAAAAATAGTAAATGATGTTTATCTGAAAGTGTAAGAATGCAAACAGGTTTTCTGTAAGGGGTGGGTTTAGTGTTAGGGGATAGAAAATATCGTTTGGTCAGTATAAAAGTAATAGAAGTCTATGGAAAGTCCCCACAATTCACAGAAACAAACGTGTGTGTGTGTGTGTGCAGAATGCGAGTCAGGAGATCGGCGAGGAGGTGGAGGATGGTGCTGTGTTCAGCATCACGCTGAGGAAGGTCCAGATGTACCAGTCGTCCAGTAAGAGTCAGCGCTGGTTGGGTGTGGACTCGGACTCGGGCCTCAGTCTGTACGAGACGTGTAAGCTGCGCACCATTAAAGCAGGAACACTGGAGCGGCTGGTGGAGTACATGGTCACCGCCTTCAGAGGAAACGACTCCACCTACGTCACCATCTTCCTCTGCACCTACAGGACCTTCGCTACCACCAAACAAGTGCTGGACCTGCTGCTCAACAGGTGACACACACACACTCACTCACTCACTCACTCACTATGGAGGTTTGGTCAGATGACTTCATATGAGCATGTGTGTTTTCACAGATACGCTAAACTGCAGCCGGGCGCAGAAGCACGCAGAATGACCCCTGATGAGCGAACGGAGCTCAGGAAGTACGTGCCGTCATGATTGAAACACACACGCCTGAGATGGACAGTTTGCATGCCGCTTATTTCAAAAAGACTGGTACGAATCTAGTTTCCTGTGTTTCTTTCGTGTGTCGTGCGCAGCACCGTCTCCTCTATCCTGGGCGCCTGGTTGGATCAGTACTCGGAGGACTTCTGGAAGCCCCCGGACTACAGCTGCCTGAGACGCCTGATCCACTACCTGCAGCTCAGCTTCCCCGGGTCGGACCTGGAGCGCCGGGCCTGCAACCTGCTGAGCCAGTTCCACCGCAGACTCCAGCAGGAATCAGACCGGGACGGTTCGTCAGCTTCGATCGGTCCATCAGCTCAACCTGATGCTGATCGTCCACTCATGAGAAAAAAACTGAACTGTGCATTACAGTCAATTATACATTTAACTGAACTAAATTGATTCTGTGCATCACCATTAATCAAAGTCAAATTGTGAGTTTAACTATTTCCAAATGTAATTAGAAGTCATTTAAGTGACAATGTTAAAAATATATAACGTATGGTTTCAATTTGAATTAGTAGCGTTTCTGATTTCAGGCATAATTACTGTAACATGATAAAGGCTGCAGTGGCAAGCAAAGATACAGTATGCATAAGGAGGAAAAAAATACTTCATAATTTACATTTATGCATTTGGAAGATGCTTTTATCCAAAGCGACATACATTTTAGCAATTCTTGCTTTCCCTGGGAGTCGAACCCATGACCTTAGCGTTGCGAGCGCCATGATCTATTATTTAATCTACAGGAATATCGTATAATAACTGGCATATAATTGTGATTGTTGATTTCTTCTGGCTCAGATGAAGCTTTTAGAGTGTGTGAGTAAATCTAATGGCAGTAAAGTGTTCAGCAGAGCAGGCGTGACGTGTGTTTCTGTCTGCAGTGCTGGATCAGGGCTGCTGTGCCTTCACTCTGCTGCAGGAGAACGGATTCAGTGAGGATCGACACGATTTCCTGAGCTTTGACCCCACTGTGGTGGCAGAGCAGTTCACACTGATGGACGCAGTGAGCAAAACACACACACACACACATGCACACAC